TTTTAAAGACAGCTAAATTACCAATTACAATATCCACCCAGGCAACGCAGGACGTATTCCAGGCCCGTCTCGAGGCTGCAGAACAAACCACGTGTTTCTGCAACGGACAGGCACAGCAGACTAGGATGATGAGGATTAAATATTTGATATCCGCAGGAACCTACCTCTGGCACGCTTTCCACGAAGACAGCCTTTAAAGAATGCAGGCACGCTGTGGTATTCGCCAACAAGAATAAGAACATGGAAGAAAATTCTTTTTTTGCCAGTAGACCATTATTAAAGAGTGTTTAACCCTCAGCAACACACCCCAGTGCTGGGTGAAGCCAACTGTGAGCTCCCTGGCTCAGCCCTTCCCTGACCCTCGCCCTATGTTCTTGGATTGGAAACACTCTCGTAGCAATATGTTAATTGCAATTAACACAATACAGTCATTGTTCTGGAACACGTCTATCCAGTGGCCCGAGGTGATCTCGGTCCACGCCGATGATGAGCCCATTGGTTCAGGAAGAAACTTGGGCTGACCTTTGCTGTCCACCAGCCAGAGACGGGCAAAACAACCTCCCTGCGCTCTGCCCGGCTCAGCGACGGCCGGGAACTGCCCTTCTACCGCTAAACAGCTTTTAACCTCAGGACCACCTAACCTCCTCACTCCAGAAGCCCTGTCAGCACAGCCAGGTTAGCCCCGGGGTGAATCTTCCTGCTTCTCTTCTCCTCCAAACCAGAAGAAAACCAAACCCACCACGATCCCACAATGGGTTTCAGCAACAACAACACCCAGCAGCAGACCTTTTCCTAGACCGATGCAGCTCTGAAAACCGCTCTAACACTTCCTTTGATGGCCAGGGTCCTGCCTCTAGTATTCCAGTCGTAAACTGAAAAATTATTTTTATTTTGGTAAGATTAGTGCCCCTGAAATACAGCTTTACAGAATCAGTGCTTAGCTTCCCCAGCTGAGATGAGCTCGGATAACCAAATCTCCCCATGTAAAATCAGCACAATTAAATACCCCAATTTACTGATGAGCCTGCCCATGTGTTCTGGAGGAGCTAGGAGCCTTGAGAAGCATTTTTAACCTCACCTGGATATAAAGCATGCAGGTTAACACGGGATGATTCACTGAAGCCAAAACTGAACACGAAATTTTATCTGATGCAACCTCACCCTCATTGCTTCTGCTGTAACAGATCATTTGCTATCGGCAGCACGAGCGATGAATGATCGCTGCACCTCACCACGCAGAAGCTTATTAAAAAACAAGGAAGTCTGATAATAGATTTCTATTAAGAATTCACACTTATTATCCAGATCCCCGTTCTCCTGCCCCCTTTCCAGATCCCCTTCAATCCTACAGCTTCCATCTGAGACAAGAGACGATAACTGGACCCTGGTCATCCATACGGCAGAAGAGTTCTAGTGAATCTCAACAACAGTATTTCTAGAGTCAAAATTCCTCAGAAACTGAATGAATGATCTTTAATTAAGCACTCCCAGCCAGTTGGTGTGTGTATCAACGTTCCGAGAAGAGGGCGTTCGAAAACCATCTGCAGGGAGCACAGAGCTCCAGCACCGAGTGGCTGCAAGCACCTATGCCCTGCCTTTAACAATATGCTTCCCTTTAAAAAAAGAGTCTTAAAAACCAGCAAAGACTACAGTGGACAATTATTATGATTTCAAAGTCTACCTTGTTTGCATAAACTGAAGTAGAATTTGAACAATACTTGTCTTGGTTAATCAGTTGGCCTCAGCTGCCTGGCAACCAGTAATTATGCTCAAAATCGCTGGGATAAAAGCACTAGAACACGTTTCAATGGTGTGAATCTGAAACTAACACCACTATCAGACAAAGAGCAGGAGGGCAGCACGGTGACAAAGTGACAAGCAGTATTTTTGGTGAAGTGTTTTTCTGTCCACGGGCTGGTTTGGTGCCGTGGGGCGTTTGGCAGCTCTCGGGGTGCGAGCGCATCCTC